CTGGAAATTTCTTTACACTTTAGCGAACATTTCCTGGTATTGTGGGGGCCCCCCGAGGTTGCCGGCACCGATAAGCTTTATTGGGGAAAGGGGAGGGAGGGACGAGAAGCTCCCCCACCCACTCGCTTGAGGGGATGGGCCTCCACAAGGAGGCCAGCGTGCCGCCGCCCCCGCAGGCGAGTCTGAGACGGACAGGGCAGTCTGCGCGGCACGACGCCTTCTTCTCGTCGCACGCGCTCCGGCAAGAGTCCGCCCGCCGGCGCGCAGCCGCGTATGCTCAGCCACCGGAGCAGTCTGGCCCGCTGGCGACGGCGACAGTCGAGGGACCCCGCTCGCCGTTGGGCGCGCTGGCCGTTCGGCCTGTCCGTGCTGATCCGCCCGCTCGCCCACGCAGGCTACCACTCGTTTGTGCCGCTCGACGTCCCCGACGCGTCGCGCCGCTCGCGGACGCCGTCGTTTCTCTGCAAGGCGCGGCCGGCGCAGCCTAGGAGAGGAGAGAAGGAGGGAGGCAACGGAGCGAAGCGACGTCGAGTGAGACGGCGCACTGGGCCCTGAGAAGTGCGCGCGAGCGAAGGGCCTGCGTTGGCGGACCAGTCTTCTTGGCTCGCGTGTCTGCATCGCGCCCGCCCCTCGGCCAGGGCAGTGGCGAGGGGGGGCGGGGCCGGGCAGCGGTGCGGTGTCGGTGGCGCGCACCCAGAGGTCTCTGCCCCCAGAGAGGTCTCTGCCCACGCCCTCCAGGCTGGGCACCGCCACAGAGGTTGGGGAGGCCGTCCCTTCCGCTCCTCAGAGGCAGCCCCTCTCTGCCAAGGCGACGTCGTCTGTGGATGGCGAGGCGTACTCCCTCCGCCGGCTCGACGGCCCGCCGGTGCCGCCGGAACCGCTCGCTGCCGCGCTGGCATGGCGCAGCTTGCGCCACCCAAGTCTGGTCGCCCTCGTGGATGCTTTCACCGCCACCGGCCCCGCTGCCGACGGCCGCGTCGGCAGCGCCCTCAAGCCGGCGCCGCAGGCCTTCGCGAGGCCGTTTGACGCGCTGCTTTCGCCGGACTAGGTCGCGCGACCTACTTTGTCCACGAGCTTTTCCCGGCGGCGATCTCGCTCGAGCGCGCGTACTTCGGCACCCCGGGCTCGGCGGGCAACCCAGGCACGCCCCCAGTCACGCGACGCTTGCGACGCGACTTCACGACACGTCCACGACACGTCCACGACACGTCCACGACACGTCCACGACAGTCCGCTCGTCCCCAGGCACGCCGCCCTCGATGACGCCTACCGAGGACGGTCTGTGGGACATCGCCCTCCCGCTCCTCTCGGCGATCCACGCGCTTCACACCGCCGGCGCCGCAACCTTCTCGGAGCTTTCGGAACCCTCCTGTGTAGGCGATCCACGCGGTTCACTCGGCCGGCGCC